CTCTTTACAGGTTCACGGCTGAAAGGAGTTTTGCCTTTGGTCTCAGATGAGACTTTGAACTTTGGACTTTTGAGTTGGTGCTGCAACAAGCTAAAGACTTTTGGGACTGGAATGGAATGTGTAACATGTAAATGTAAGGGTCATTTATCCTCGCTAAGAGAACCTCCCAGAACATTCTGAATGCATAGATTGTACAGTGAGGACCCTGAAGGGGTGGATTGTTGGGAAAACAATAGTTTGGTCAGGCCCTGCCCTCGGGTCCCACTGGGTATGGTTGAGCATCCTTTGTAAGCAAATTGTGTGTGTGGAGTTAGTACTCATGTACGCCAATGTATCTTTTTAGTTTTGTTGCTATTCTTGTGTTCTGCACAGAGAGAAAGCTTCAGAGAGAGAGAAAGAGAGAGAGTCTAGAGAGTAGTTTTAGTGAAGCAGGCAGTAGGGTGTTGGCCTCAGGCGTCCGCCTGGCACAGCCATGCTCTTCCAAACCTACAGCTTCCAAGGACCTTTGGGCTGGCAGCTCATAGAACTGCGTGTAAGGGGTCTGGTGACCCAGCCTGGTGTGTGTGGGGTCTGGGGACCCAACCTGGCATGTGAAGGGTTTGTGACCCAGTCTGTGAACAGGCTTGAGGGGTCTGTGTGCTCCAGACCCAGCCTTAGCTCGACAATCGGCCCAGTCGGTGCAGGATTACCAGCAGGTAAAAGAGACTGACAACTAGCGTGCTTGAGTAGCTTTACAATTGGCATCACAATCAGGATTAAAGACATTAGCCATAGCCAGACACTCTCTCAAAAAAAACCACATTTGTTTTAGAGATAAAATTGTGAGTCAAATCAGATTTTTAAAATAGGCATTAGAGAAAACAATACATAGAATGTAACTGGCTAGAAAGAGTATTTTCTAAATCAGAAAACCTGGGCATTTATATATCCTGAAAGCATAATGGTCAAGGTTTGAAAACTATGTCTTCTCTAGGTGTTCTCAATCAATTAAACAATGGAAAAATGAACATATTGTACAACTGTCTGAGTCATAAAATAAATATGAGTTGATAAATACCACCCACCTAGTGAACCATTAAATTACACTAAGAATTTGTAGTTTATTTTTAGAAAACAGAGCATCTGCTCTCTACTACTTTCTCCAAAAATAATTTCTAAAGAGACTCTGGACAATATGCTGAATAAATATTGGAACAAAATGTAGTAAATACACATGTACACACTTGATGTTTATTTATGACTGAATGAACGGTTTACATTTATGACTGCACAAGTTACACACATTATAAATATGTTGTGTTAGCAATATATTGTCTAGTGAAATAAGCCTTGGAGGAAAAGCCAGAAGACTTGCTTATATTCTTAACTCTATCAACATGATACTGTTTCATCTGGGCCATGTCACTTTATACCTTATTCTTTCTACCTGTAAAATACGGTAACAGTATCATCTGCTTTACTAGCCTATAACTAAAATAATAACTCTAAAGACTAAGCCATGGGAGAAAGACATTATATACATGTATTAAATTTCAACTTTTTACCCAAAGGAAAAATCTTCAAACAAAAGTTGTGACATGCCTGGCTTACAGATCTTGAAGGGGACAGAATGGTATAGAAGAAAGAGCATGTCTTTTAAAATGACATAATCCAGACTTCACCACCTGCTATTACACTTGCAACCTTAGGCAAGTCTATGTAAATACTCTAACCTTGAATTTTCCTGTCTGTGAAATGAATATTTACTGCTAAAGGGTTGTAATAAGTATTAAATGAGGAAAAATATGTCAAATTGCCTAGCATGGTGCCTTAAGCATTCAAAAAATGTTAATTTCATTCCCTTGGACTTTATGGTACATTAAAAACCATATTCCGAGTCTGGTGGTTAGCTCAGGTGGTTAGAACTCTGTTATAACACCAAGGTCAAGGGTTTGGATCCCCATGCCGGCCAACAACAAAAATGAAACAAAACGGAAAAAAAAAACTAGATTCTCACTTTCAAATTCATACAAAACTCTGATTTCAAGAAGAGCTATAAAGCACAAGGATATTGGCTCTTCCTCCTCAAAAAGAAATTTTATATTTAAAAAACCTCCTCTAGATTGTGTATAATTAGTACAATTGTTTTAATAACCTCTGGTCAAAAAATTAAGTGCCAACACTATCGGGAAAATAGAATAGTTTGATCAGGGCCCTCACCTCGGATCCAGTTGGGTGCGGTTCAGCATCCTTTGTAAGCAAATTGTGTGTGTGTGTGTGTGTGTGTGTGTGTGTGCGCGCGCGCACGTGCATGCGTGCGTGCGTGCGTGCACAGTTAGTGCACATGCGCGCCAGTGTATCTTTTTAGTTTTGTTGCTATTCTTGTGTTCTTCAGAGGAGAGAGAGAAAGAGAGACAGAGAGGAGAGAGGAGTTTTAGTGAAGCAGGCAGGCAGGTGTCTGCCTCGGGCGTCCACCCAGCACAGCCATGCTTGCCAACCTGCACCTCCAAGGACCTTTTGGCTGATTACCTAGCTCATAGACCTGCATGAAGGGGTCTGTTGACCCAGCCTGGCATGTGAGGGGTCTGCTGACCCAGCCTGGCATATGAAGGGTTTGTGACCCAGTCTGTGAATGGGCTTGAGGGGTCTGGGAGCTCCAGACCCAGCCCTAGCTCAACAATTGGCCCAGTTGGCAGGATTACCAGAAGGCAAGAGAGCCCAACAACTAGTGTGGTCATGGAGCTAGATAAACACATACACCACTGTTGTGGATATTTAATTATTTCCTATCAAAAAAGTTAATATCCTATGAGAATATCACATAATACAATAAGTTCTTTAAGCTACAGTATTGGTACCTCTTTTCTCTGTTAAGGTAAGAACTGACAGGTGAATACACAGACCATATTCAACTTTATTATAAAAATCAAACATATACGGCTGGCCAGTTTGCTCAGTTGGTTAGAGTGCAGCCTTGTAAAAAACAGTGAAAGAATATTACTACAAATATTTGATTTTCTTATGTAGATACAAGATTCATTAATTTAAAACAAGCAAACAAAACCAACAAAACCCTCTGATCTGATCAAAGTTAAACCCTCAATATTATAGTAACTTTATTAGAAACTAAGTACTGAATTTCTAGTCATAAAATGTATTAAGCAAAATGTACTGTGACAGAAGAGAGGAAATGTTTCCAGGGGAGAGGGAATTTCTACAGTTCACCTGTAGCAAACGCTATTAATTGTAAGATATATCCAATATTTACTCAGAACCCAGTAGCTAAACCTACAAGAGTTCAGCATAGCAAAAATTTTGACGCAAAAAGTGGTAATAACATTTACTCAAGAATAAAACTGAAGTCAAATTTAGCAGTCTAAATCTTTCTAAACAAAGAAGAAAAAAAAATGACCATGAAGGAAATTCCTATTATCATCTGGTTTGCTTTCTAGACAGGGGTTTCAATAAAATTGAATGATTTTGAACAACAAAAAAAAAAAAAAACAGTTTTGGTAAAGACTCTAGAAATCATCCACATTTACTCTGGACGAAACTGTTTCTAACAGTTTAAAAAAGGGGGTGGGGAATAGGTCTGTTTAGCACTGCTCTCACCTAAAAACCATTAATCATTGAGCTTAGAGAAACTTATGTTTAGTGAAATAAGCAAAGGACAGAGGGATAAATACTGCATGTAGTCACTCATAAGTGGGAGCTAGGACAGAAAGAAAGAAGGAAAGACCACAGTGGTGTATTGGACTTGCAGAGGGAGAAAACATACCTATGGATACAAAGTGGAGTGGGGGATATAGGGAAGGGGAGGGAGGTTGGGGATAATTGGGTGGGGAAGATGGGGTACAATCGCAATTTGTGGTAATGGGCATGCTGCCAATATGGATCTGGACTTCACATCTAGGTTACTGGGGGAACAATCGCTTTGTATCTCATGAATATTCATAACCAATAAAAAAGTACAAGAATGAAAAAAAAAAAAACACATTAATCATTAAGGGTGGTACAGGTACCAAAGAGAATTTTGCTTCTCTCTTAAATATACACAATTTCCTATAAAACGTAGCACATTTTGAAGTTCATGGTGAATTTTTTGATGTTTTTATAACAGCACTTTTCTTCCTCTCCAAAATAACCTCAGTCATAGTCTGCTGGTTCTGTTTGCCTCATCTGCACTTAGCAGATCATGCTTCAGTGACTTAGAAATCCTAGCCACCAAAATTCAAGCCAAAATTTGAATTGAGAGGAAAGGGGGAAAATCAAGTAATTAAACTACAGTTGGAAGGAAGAATGGTTTTACTTCCTATGACTTTATAGTATGTTCTTTTAATCCAGAATCAGAGCCTCCAATTCTAAGGAGAGAAAAGTTATGAATTTATTTTCAACGTAAGGAATTATGTTATAACTATTATAGTTCTCTTGGCCCCATCTTCCAATTTTACTTTCTGGCAATGACACAAAACCATTAAAACCATTCCACATGTTAACATTGGACTCTTCAGGTAAAACTGTTCATAGAGTACTCTGGGAAGTTTCATTATTAAGGACTTACCCAAATTGTTGCAAGTTATCATATATCTTATTTAGAAAACAAAAGGGAGGGGGTAAAAAAAGACTGCTGTAAGTATGGAGATAAAGCCTGTATAGTTAGACAGGAACCATAATCTGCAACTATCGAGCCATGTCTCATTTTCTCAGTGCCAGCGGTTTAAAGGATTCACTTCTTTCCATTTTATGAATCAGAAGATGAACCTGAAAAGCTTTCTTAAAAATAAAATAAAACCACCTTAAACGATGATATCACCCAATCTAAAATGATATTACACAGTCAAAGTTTGAGACTTTAGGGAATTAATGTAACTAATAAGAATGTCTAAAAGAACAATAACTATATTCATGAATTTATGCACCAAAAATTAAATGCTCTATTAAAAAGTGAAAAAAAAATTAACAACTTTCTCTTTTTTGCTCCACTAAATTGTCATTTTATCATTAAGCACTTTATAACATACCTTTGTAGAATGCCATTTTCCTGGGGTATTACACCATTGATAGCTGCCTGCAAACAAGAAACAGAGAAGGCCATTTAAAGAAACAAATAAATGCCCAAGGTGGGTGAGGAACACTGTAAAGGGAAATAAGTATTCTTTGAAAAATTGATTTAAACAAAATACTAAATGTTTCCTTAATAATGCAAAATTTTTCTATTAAATGTTTCCTTACTTCTCAACAATGAAACCGCATTTTAGAAGATTAAACAATGTGCATTTGGCATGTAATATCCCCAAACCTTCAAGTCATAAAAAGCCAATTCACAGTTTTCATTCAAGCAAAACACCCACAAAACCAATGTTTAAGGATATCAGAAGTAAAAGTAGTACCTTAAAGTAATCTTATTATTTCCTCTCTCACATAAAGAGGAGCAAGATATAAAATCACAAATGAAAAACTCCATGAGAATACAAAAATTAACTCAAGAACTAAATTCACTTATTCATGTTATAATCACTATTCTTAATGAAAAGAACACTGAGAAGAACATAGAGGCAAAATTTCTTTAACACAATAATATCAAGTGACAAGAAGAGGCGGTGTCACAGTAGAAGACTCTTCATATAAAACATTCCTGAAATTGTTCTCTAAGCTAACAAGTCACCAAGTAGTTAGAACACAGCACAGGTATGACATAACATGGATGTTTTTGAAGACTACGAAGCAAGCAGCCTGTCACATCCTGAACTGTGAGCAGCTCACTGCAAGATAATAGAGAATATCATCCGGAAAAAAAACAACAACAAAAAACCAACCTTTCTAACTTTGCCTTTGCACCATAACTTCTACTTCCCTCCCCCTCCCTATCCACATCAAAATATCAATAGTTAACACAAAACAAAAACGCTTGACATTTTAATGTTTTATCAGTTGCCTGGAAATCAACTGCCAAAAGGAATTTGCGTATTTTGTGAAACATTAACTTAGTATTTGCCAAAGAAGGGTCAGGTTTGCAATGTTGTACTGCTGAATGGAAATAAATAAAGCAGAGTGTAAGATTCTTGCTCTGAATTTTGAGAGGTGTAATGGTCCATGGGCAAAAAACAAAGAAATCCACAGATTAATACAGACAGTGAATACCACAGAATCCTGACAACTCTTGAGGCTCAAGAATCCTTCAAGTCAAGCAAATGCTAAAATCAGTTTTCAAAGCCACAAATTCAATGGAAACATCATCGTTTAGTGTCAGGCAAATTATCCTTTCTGTTACATCAATAGTTCAATATATATCTCCTTTGCTGAATAATAATAAATGGTTAAGAGAATGCTCTGTGATGCTAGAAACTAAACAAAATACCAGACTTTGGAAAAATTTGGGTCAAATTTTCACTAGGGAATGCCTAGTGAAAGTAGGTGGAAAGTATAGTGGAAAGAACTCTAAGAGTTTAGAAAGCACAAAGTTTGATTCCAGGCTCTCCTATTTATTAATTTGACGACTTTATAGTATTCATTGAAACAACTTGAACCTCAGTTTCCTCATCTGTATAATGAGCTGACATTACATCCTCAGCCAGAATGGGCTGCCTTTTGTTCCTCAAAGGCATCAAATTCTCATATTTCTTAAGGCCTTTGAAGATATTTTCTCCATCTGGAATTCCCTTTCCCTTTCATCTATCTGCTAAATCCTAATCATCATGAGTGAAGCATCTGTTAGATATACTTTTTCAAAAGATTCTTCCTTAACCAACCTTCCATTTAATCGGGTTTACTCTCAAATAGAACCCTGTACTTCATGGTAATTATCATAATTTACAATTACTTATTTGGTGATTTTTTTTTATGACTTTCTCATTAGACTATAGACTCCATGAGGTAAAAGACAATATCAATTTCGTTCACCACTTTATCCTCATTGCCTAGCAAAGTACCTGCACATCAAAGGCACTTATTATTTGTTAAATGAATGATATTAGAGGAGTACAAAGAAAAGCCACCTAGTTAGACTCGAGGAAGGTTCAGGGAAAGGTTTCTGGGTAAAATAATGTCTCCACTGAGACTGAAAGACAAGTGAAAAGTAGCAAAATTGGGGCGGGGGGTTAGTAGAGAAGGAGAAGTGCCACACCTCCACTTCTCTACCCTCGTCCTCTTTCAGGATCTTAGATCATTTTAAATAGTGTACTTGTTTTGAAGCAGAAAGTCCCTGACCTAAATTTTATGTACTTAATAAGCTGTGTATATAAAGAACTGAAATGTAACCCAGAGTGAAGGTACAGTAAAAGTATAATTTGCTAAAGAAATATAGAATAGGGAAACAGATTTTTGACTGTGAGGATTAACAAAAGCTTCAGAAAAGAGACGGCATTTCACCTGGACTTTGGACAACAGGTAAATAAAAAAGCAAAGAAAACTTCCAGATTAGTTCAATTTTGAACATATTATCTTTAAGGTAACAGTAGGACATAATTTGTTCATATAACAAATATGTATTAATTGCCAACTACATACTAGGCAATGAAAATTTACTGATGGATATAACATAGCTTGCCTTCAAGTAAGGAGAAAACACATTCAATAATGAATTTTACTATGAAAAGATCAGGTAATATCCAAATGGAGATATCCAAAAAGTAATTTAAAAAATCAGAGCTAGGTTAAGTAAAGTAACATCTGTTTAAAGGCAAATAAATGAAGCCCTAGAAATATTTTAACTTCATTCTCTAAGCTATCTTCTGTGGTGAAGAAAATGGAGACAAAGATAGAATCTTGGGAAATTCATTAAAAACAAAACAAAACAAAATAAAATAAAAATGAAAGAGTCAGATAGGAGGGAAAAGACTAGGAATGTGTCAGAAGGGAGGCAAAGAAAGAACTATAATGAGGGATTAGACAAAACTGGTGTTGTGACACCAAGGTCAAGGGTTCATATACCTGTACTGCCAAAAATATCAAACAAAAATTGGAAAATGCAAAAAGTCTAATATTATGAGATCTGACCTTATTAGACAATTTTAAAATAGTTGAACATGGACTAGTTTATAAAAGGCTAAAAAAAAAAAGGGAAATAAAGTGTAACTGACTCCTTTAAAACACTTAGTGTGAAAAGTATAAAAACAGGAACTGCAAGAAGAATGGCTGCAATACGTTTTTGTTTACTCCTTTTTGTTTTGTTTTTAAGAATAGTTTCTTGAAGAACATACATTGGGGAAAAGACAGCCTCTTCAATAAATGGTGCTGGGACAATTGTACATTCATATAAAGAAAAATAAAACTGGACTTGTACCTCTCACCATATACCCAAATCAACTCAAAATGGGTTAAAGACTTAAATATAAGACCTGAAACCATAAAATTATTAAAGGAAAATATAGGGGAAACACTCCAGGTAATAGGACTGGGCAAAGACTTTATGAATAAGACCCCAAAACCACACGCAACAAAAGAAAAAATAAATAAATGGGATTATATCAAACTAAAAAGCTTCTGCACAGCAAAGGAAACAATCAAAAGGGTGGAAAGACAACCTATGGAATGGGAGAAAATATCTCCAACAAAGGATTAACATCCAGAATATACAAAGAACTCAAACAACTATACAGTAAAAAAAACCCAAATAATCCAATTAAAAAATGGGCAAAGGAGATGAATAGACATTTTTCAAAGGAAGACATACAAACAGCCATAGGTACATGAAAAAATGCTCAGCATCACTAGTCATCAGAGAAATGCAAATCAAAACCACACTGAGATATCATCTCACCCCAGTTAGACTGGCCATTATTAAAAAGACCGAGATAACAAATGCTGGTGAGGATGTGGAGAAAGGGGTATTCTTCTACACTGTTGGTGGGACTGTAAATTAGCACAGCAATTGTGGAAAACAGTATGGAGGTTTCTCAAACAAGTACAGATAGATCTTCCATATGATCCAGTAATCCCACTACTGAGTATATATCCAAAGGAATGGAAATCATTACCTTGAAGGGATACCTGCACTCCCATGTTCATTGCAGCTCTATTTACAATAGCCAAAATATGAAACCAACCCAAGTGACTACCTACGGACGACTGGATGAGGAAAATGTGGTATATATACACAATGGAATACTGCTCAGCCATAAAAAGGAACGAAATTCTGCCATTTGCAACAACATGGATGAGTCTAGAGAAAATTATGTTAAGTGAAATAAGCCAGACAAAGAAACAGAAATACCACATGTTCTCACTCATAACTGGCTACTAGGCAAGAAGGAAGAAAGAGAAGGAGGGAGGGAAGGAGGGAAGAAAGAAAGAAAGAAAAGACCACAAAAATATGCTGAACTTTCAGAAGGAGAGAACAAACCTAATGAAACTAGAGATGGGAGAAGGGAAGGAGGGGGTTTAAGAAGTGATAGGTAGGGCCGGCCCGGTGGCGCACTGCTACAGTGCGCCGCTTGGGAGCGTGGCGGCGCTCCAGCCGAGGGTTCGGATCCCACATACAGACCGGCCGCTCACTGGCTGAGCGAGGTGCGGGCGCAACGCCGAGGGTTGCGATCCCGTTGCCGGTCCCGGTCCGGTACGGGCGCAACACTGAGGGTTGCAATCCGTTGCCAGTCACAAAAAAAGACAAAAAGGAAAAAAAAAAAGAAGTGATAGGTAGGGTAAAGGCATAAAGAAATATCACGATTTGTAAGAATGAATATGCTAATAGTAAATCAAAAAATTTAAACAAACAAACAAAAGAATAGTTTCTTGAGCTTATATAGAATCCTTTGGAATGGGAAACAAAAAAGACTTAAGAAACGGGTATAATTTAAAGTTTGGTTCAACAGACTCTTAACGAATGCCTATTCATTGTGAGGTACTATGCTAGACTTTGGGAATGCCTGGATGAAGGCAGAGATAAAGGGGATACCTTAAGAAAAAAGTTCAATAAAACCTGGATTGATCCTAGACTAAAAATGATACTCAACACATAAGAACCATTTATCATTTGCTAAATACTAATTATCCCATTGTTAACCTTCTTTTTGCTAGGAAGATACTAAATCTCTCACTCTATAAACAGAAAAATAATGACAGGAATTGATT